ATTACAGGCATTTGGATAGTGCTGTCCTATATGAGCTGCTCCACACAAGCCTGCCTGTCGAGCTAGTATCATTAACTCTCTTCCACAAATGAGGCAGCAGGGAGGTTCAGAGCATTGCCCAGAAGTGCTCAAGGTGACACAGTCAACGACTTGCATCACAGCCTTGGGTTCCAAACATGATGCTCTGCATCCGTGAGAGAGGCTTTGGAGTATGGACCACCCATTTTCTCTCTACTGGTATATTCTGAACCAATTGAGAAATATACCTAGAAATTGGTTGGAGAATGACAGCTTTGTCACTGATAATAAGTATCATCCAGCCCCAGGCATGCCAGGAAGGCAAGCCCAGCTCCCATTCCTTGACTATTTGATTCTCAGAAGCTCTGGGAGGCAGTATACATTCAGGGGTCCCTTACTGCTAGAACCTAGCTCCCAACTCAGCAAGTGTCAGTGACTGGCCATTTGGGCATGTTTGTTGTTGGGAGGGTCTGGGTCCTCAGGAAGTGGCTGTTAAGTACAGCTATAGGCCACATTCTTTCATGGAAATTAGAGGGCTGAATGACAAATTCCTTCGGAATCATACATAGTATTATTTGGGTAGCAGATCTCATGTCCCTAGTCACCTGATTTGCCCCTCACAGATGGCCACACTGAGAGCCCAGCCTTAAGCTCAGAAGGGACAGGACTCTGATGTTGAGGAAAAGGAAATGCGAGGGCATGTAATTCCAACCCAGCTTAGCTTGGATGGCCAAAACCTTCAACCCAGCTGACCTCACTCTCTTCCTTCCACAAACAGTAAAAATAAATACTCTGGCTGCAAATGTTGAAACATGCATCTTAGGCTTCCCAGAACAGTCAGTACAGCTGTTTTGTATGTGAATTCTTTGACAAGTCTAAGGGAAATGAAGTGCTTAGTGTTTAGGCCCTGGGGCTATGACCACTCCTGAGCATGGCGTTATGAGATTTTCCTACCAAGAAAAAAAGGCTCTAAATTAACTCCACAGCCTGTGAGTGGCAACGATAGCTTCACTTGTAGAAATCGTGAATTCTGGTGCATGAAACAGAATGGGAGCTGTTGTATCCTCTTGGGTGTTTTAACCTAGAACTTTGCCCTTTATCTCTGGAGCAATGGGGGACACTGGCCCTTAGCAAATGGGCTGTACAGCTTTGGAGGCAGAGACATCAACATTGCCATTGCCATCAACTTCCTTCTCCTCCTCAGCCAGTATTTCCCATGTGAAGATCAGAACAGAAGAGATCATCACTGAAGAGACACTGGCCAGGTCTTCTCCTAGATCCAGAGCCTAGAGCTTTTGGTGTGACACAATGCTTACTGTAGCCATTGTGGACACTGGGAGGCAGCTTCTACAGATCCTCAGCTGTTGTGAGCAATGGGAGGAGCTTCTGCAGATTCTCAGCTATTATGAGCACTGGGCAGTAGCTTCTATAGATACTCAGCTGTTGTAAGCAAGGGGAGGAGCTTCTGCAGATACTCAGCTGTTGTGAGCACCGGGCAGCAGCTTCCTCAGATAATGCACTGTAGTGATACTGGGTGGCAGCTTCTGCAGACACTCAGCCTCAGAATGATGCTTCTTTTCAACTGATCACGGCACCAGTCAGTGAGTCCCACTGAAGAGGCCCTCTGTGCACGTGCGAAGCAAAACTAAGGCCCACTTCTGTGAAGGAGCTGTAAAATGCCACCAGCCTCAGCTGTAAAACTGATATCACACAAGTCTAGAAATAAAAAATGTGCAGTGTCTCGATACAAGGGATCTTGGAAATTCTCAAAATGTTCCTTCCGGCTTGTGTCACAGTTTGTATCAATTACATTACTCTTGTTGATGACTCCAGTAAAAAGGTTGGGTTTTTATGTGATTCTTCAGGAGTATCACAGGGCGTGAAGGGCCTAGGGTCTGAACGGTGAGCTGTGCCCATTACACAGATGACAAGGTTAGAAATGAAGGTGTCAAGGTTCTCTTTGTGACTGCCTGAGAATCTGGTCAGTGTAAACCTCTCTGGGACCCCTGAGGGCATCTTCTGGGCCTCTAACAGTCTTCATCGTCTGTTTAAAACTGCTAGCAGTGATATGAGGCAGCCTTTGGGCCCAACTCCACTTTGTTTCCTAAGGCAAGTCTTCAGAACCAAAGATACATTTTCAAGAAGGCTGTCTCTCTGGCTGGCCATGTCTGGTACCGATGCCTGCATGCTGGGGCCCAGAGCCTTTTATTCTCAAATAGCTTCCTTTCAAAGCTGCCTCTGCTCCGTGCAAGTGTCTCAAATTTTGGAAGCACGGAGAATGTGGAAGTCCATTCCTGCATCTCATGTTGCTTCTCTTTGATTTTAAAGTTATGCCAACAAATTGGTTCCTTCACTGGGTCGTGGTGTAAAATACAATGATCATTGTGAACAAGTCTAGCGTGTTCGAGGGGACCCGATGCCCTCTTTCAGCCTCTGTGGGCATTGCACTCACTCACTGGTGCACATTCACACATGCAGATAAAAACGTCCATACACATAACATAAAATAAATAAGCCTTAAAAATCGATTTAAGATAACCTCTCACCCCCAATCTATTTGCCAATATTTCCTCCGTGAGCAGATCCACATTTTCTTTTTGTTTGCTGACTGACTCGTTGCTTTTATTTTCTATCACAATTTACCTGAAAAGCTATTGAATATCTACTTATTTTGTTTTGTGTTGTGCTTTTGAAACCGTCATGCTTCTTAGGCTGGCCTTGGCTTTGTGAATCTCCTGCCCCAGTCTCCTATATATGCTGCGATCACAGACATGGCCACTGTGCCCAGCTACAATTTCCTCACCTTCGCAGCCCAGGGAGGCAAGACAGTGGATTATTCCTGACCTCAAATAAGGACACAGCCCAGCTCGAGCCTTGACTTCAGTCTCTTGCAACCTTAAGAAGGCTACCCTGCTAATACATAAGAAACTCGGATGGACAGAAAGCATGCATCATTTTAAGTTCTTAAGTGTGTGAGATCATTCACTTGTTGTGCCTGTAGAATGTTCACATGTAGATTTTATGCCACAACTGAGAGGCTTCAAACAGGGATTAGCTCTCTATTGGAAGTGATTCATGATCACAGGGAGAGGTGATAACTGAGATGATGCAGGAAGAGTGGGGATTTGCCAGAGAGACCAGGGAAGTGGTGCTATGAGACAATACCATAGAAAGAATGTTTGTATAGCACCTGAGGCTCTGAGTTATCCAAAGGATAGCTGTGTTAACCAACTTTCTGTCCTCTTAATAAATACCTAATAATCAATTTATTAAGGGAAAATACCTGTTTTGACTCACTCTTTCAAATTTTGCAGCCTATGGTCACTTGCCCCCCTGCATTTGGGCCTGTGGAAAGGATACACATCAGAGTGAAGAGTACACAGCCGACAAAAACTCCTTACATCATGGTCTTGGGAAGCGGGAAAGGATAGAGGCATCTGGAATTATACAATCCCTTTTAAGGGTGCTCCCCTAGTGACCTGAAGACCACACACTAAACTCTGTCTTTTAAAGAGTACACCTCTCCCACAACACCAAGCTAGAGACCAATCTTTTGTCACATAGGAATTGTGGAGGACGTTGCAGATCCAACTCTAGCATTGTCTTAGTGCTTTTTGATGTATGACAAAATACCTGAAGTTGGGTAGTTTGTAACTGATGGAAATTTATTCCTCACTGTTCTTCCAATAGATGGGCTAAGGGGCTGGCAAGTCAGTGTTCAGGTAGGTCACAGTCTGCTCTGTCAGGGGACATGCTATCTTCTCACATGGATAAAGGGTTAGAAAAGCTAAGAGGGAAAGACAGCTTAATGAAGCCCTGGTTCATTAATAGACTTAGTTCCACCCACCCACCCCTGAAAGCCCTGCTTCCCAAGACTGTCACTTTGGTGACTGGGTTTTCAGTTACGAAATTTGGAGGAACACATCCATTCAAAAACATGGTAGAAAGGTATCTATGTTGCCATTTCTTCTTTGGTAATGCAACCATTTCCTAACTGCATTCATGACCTCTGCATACAGGAAAAGGAAGCTCCCTCCCTCCAACTGTCCTGCTGTTTGCTCTCTTCTCCACCCTCCTCTCAATGTCAGGTTCCCATTGATGCACTTTCAGGTCAGACATACATTATCAATGCATGCAAAAAAAAAAAAAAAAAAAAGCTGAGTGTTCATTTTGACCTGTCATAGGGTATTTTCTCTTTCCTCAGACTGTCCACATTCTCACATGGTTAAACTGTTACTTAGGCTTCATAACCTCAGCCACCCCAAACCACACATTGTCTTGTCAAATACACTGCTTTTATCCAAGAGTGGTGGGTAATGTGATTCTGTTCCAACCTCAGCATGTCCTATGTTTTCACTTAGAGTGACTAAGCAGTGCGTGGTCTCCCGGCCTTTATTACATGGTCTGGTTCCTCGTGCATCATTCTGTCAGCTGCGACTACCAGATGCACTGCACAATTCCCACACGTGTGGTAAAGCTTGAATTCAATAGTCTTAAGGAGCTCCAATCCCTGGCACCCTCTGTCATCCCATTTTTTTTTAAACAAAATAGTCCACAGCCTTCATGGCCCTGCCTTAGCTTCCTTCTATTTTTCCAAAATTGCTCTGAAACCTTCCACCAAACTGAAAGTACTTAATCGTCAGTGGATTCTTCATAAATGTCAGTGGAGCCCCATCTATTCCAAGAGTTTTCCTTTATCTCAATCGCCTTTATTAAGCCTCCTACCCTGCAGGCGCTGGGTTTTGCCCCTTACAACCTCAATTTCTTCTTTGGTATCAGCATCTCAGGGAGAGGGCGGATGTGCCTTATTTCTTCCTTACTCCCATTCTGCCTTCCCCTTGGGGAAGCCCATTCTTATCACTCACACTAGCCCTTGGCTTTGCACACAATCACACACATACTTTCATAAGGAGCTGGAGAAATTGTTTTCAAAAGTCATTCTCTCGTAATTCACTTTGGTAGAATAACAAACATTTCCCCACCTTCTGTTCTCTGGAATAATCGTCTCCACTTGTATCATTCCTCCTAGGCCAATTGAGGATCGATTTGCTACAAACCTATTCATTGCATGCAGAATACATGAGGATGTCAGATGTGAGGGGCTCCGAAGATAGTCTCCGCCCTCTGCCTCAGATAACCATGTCGTCAAAAGGACTGTAGCGAGAATTGTCTTTGTATAACACGCCGTTAAAGAACACTCCTAAGAGTGCTTCTCACGGTAGCTTCCAGGAATGCGTTAAACTGAAGGTGCAGCTAATTTGCCTGAGCATTCACTGTGGCTGCGTCACTAATGATCTGAGAGCTATTGTGGGCTACTTCCTTCCTGGATGCCTGGGGTTTTTAAAGCACACTTGGATTTCCAATCCGCTGAGAACCCAAGCCTGTTGTAACATCCCTAGGACATCTCCTGAGGAACGAGTGCACGCTTTCCCTGCCCTTTCCACTCTCTCTCTCTTTTCCTGCAATGGATTCTTAGGGCTTGGCAGATGGACTTCTCTCTTGGTGGCTTGTTTTTATGGGGCTTAGAAATAATCATTCTGAGATGAATGCTTCTGCAGTTGACAGAGGGACCCACCACTGCTGTTATCCCAAAGTCCCTGGAGTGTAACTCAGGACAGCACTCCTCCAGGGGTGTGCTGCCATGACAGCTAGTTTATAATTTAAAAAAAAAAAACATATTCAGCTGGGTCTCAGAAAATATATGTCATTAATACGTTGCACAGGACTTGAATCCTGAAAACGCTCCATTTGGATGGAACTTTATTGTTGTGTGATATTTTGTTTGTGTTCTGACAAATAAAGCTTGCCTGGAGATCAGAGGGCAGAGCTAGCCACTAGTTAACCATAGAGGCCAGGCAGTAGTGGCACACACCTTTAATCCCAGCTCTTAGGAGGAGGAAGCAGGAAGACCAGGGGTTCAAGGCCACCCTGGGCTACAGGAGATTGAATGAGTCTAAAAAAGAAAAAAAGCCTTGGTGGTGGTGCCTGCCTTTGATCCCAGCACATGGAAGGCTCAAGCCTTTGATCCCAGCACATGAGAGGCTCACTCCTTTAATCCCAGCACTAGGGAAGTGGAGACAGGAATATAAGGCAGGTGGAGACAGGATCTCAGGGCCCCATTTAGTCAGAGGATTCAAAGACAGGATCTGCCCCCATTCAGTATGAAGATTCATAGAGACAGGATCTCACTCCATTTGGTCAGAGATTTCTTAGAGGTAAGAAGTTTCTAGTGGCTGCTGCTCTGCTTCTCTGATCTTTCACCCTAATATCTGACTCTGGTTTTTATTAAGCAAGACTAATTAGGATTGTGCTTCCCTTTATGGCTCAAATGCATCTGGCTCCTTAACCTATTATATATCGTTTGGTATATGTTTTAATATCAGATCATTTTTTGCTACGAATAGTGGCTGTTTAAAAAGGAAAGAAAGCTATGCACTTTCTCCCCAGAGCTGGACTCTTAGTCAGGTTAATAAAGAGATGGACTTCTGGTGAACTTCAGACAGCAGGAAGCCACAAAAATGAAATGTTGTCATGATATTCTTACTAAATTCCCACAGGAAAAAAAACTGAGCCCGGATTTCCCCCTCCATACTATTGATATCACCCCTGGGGACCCAACATGGGACATCTTTTCCAGATGCTAGTTTCAGTTACCTTTTCCATCCCCCCAAATGGTCATTAAACAACAATGTGTACACAAAAGTATGGTACTTGCTCTAGAATAGCTCTGTCTCACATATGGAAACTCAGAAAAGAACCACATATATTTGTTCTACATTGTCTAGGGGCTTTTAATCCAAGATATTATATGGGGGATTTGAGAAGCTTGGTCAGCACCATGCATGCCTACAGCTTTCCTTACCCATTATCAATAATACTTACAGCCTTCCTTATCAAATAGCAATGGTGATGTGCATTTGATGTGGAGCTCAAATGGTAGGATTTATGCATTTGTTTTATACATAGTAAGTGACTATTTGGGATAGTGTAGTCCTTAGAACAGGACAAATGCTTTGTAAAAGATATCCACACTATTCATTGGTTTTCCCAGCCTTTCTCCAAGCCAGATGTTATACCAGAAAAGTTTTGTTCAAGCAATAGGGTATCTCCTTTCTAGACCTGATCCCCTCTCTATCACGATGGTAGTGAGTCATTTGTGGTTGTTTGGAATAATAATCTTGGGAAGATGCTCCAGCTTAAATCTGGTCCAAGCTACATGGCTGTGGAACTTGGTTTATCTGAGTTGTTTTATTTTTAATTTATTCTTCTTTCATTATATATTGCATCCCATCAGTGGTTTCTCCTCCCTCCTTCCTTCCAAGTTCCCCTCAACCCCCACAGCATCTCCTCTCCCCAGATCCATTACTCCATCTTTCCCTTCAGAAAAGGGCAGGCCTCCCAGGGAAATTAACCAAATACGGCATATCAAGTTATAATAAAACTAGGCACATCTCCTCATAGTAAGGCTGGACGAGGAAACCTAGTAGGAGGAAAAAGGTCCCAAAAGCAGGCAAAAGAGTCAGAGACTGCTCCTGCTCTCACTGTTAGGAGTCCAACAGGAGCACTAAGCTACACAACCATAACATATTCAGAGGACCTAGGTCAGACCCATACAGGTTCCCTGGTTGACGGTTCAATCTCTGTGAGCCCCTAGACCCCAGCATAATTGATTCTGTGGGCCATTTTCTTGTGGTGTCTTGACCCTTCTGGCTCTCATAACCTTTCCTTGCCCTCTTCTGCTCCCATCAGTTGCTGAATGAAGCCTCTCTGATGACAATCACGCTAGGCTCTGTCTACTCAAATAATAGAGTATCATTAGGAATCATTTCTTTTTTTCTTCTTTCTTTCTTTTTTTCTAATGGTATTTGGTTCTATCCTTGGTCTCTGGCCTACCCAGACTCTGGTTCCTAGTCTTCCAGGAAGTGTCATGGGTGGACTCCCTCTAGTGGCATGGGTCTCAAGTTGGACCAGTCACTAGTTGGCAGCTTTGAGCCACCTTTACCCCAGCACATCTTTCAGGCAGGACTAATTGTAGGTTGATGGTTTGGTGGCTGGGTTGGTGTCCCAGTCCCTCCACTGGAAGCCTTGCCTGGTTACAGAAGATGGCTGGTTTGGATTCCATGTCCCCCATTACTAGGAGTCTTTGTTAGGGTCATCCTTGTGGATTCCTGGGAGTTTCCAGTGCACTAGGTTTCTACCTCACCTCCAAATGGGCCTTTGTCCCTGTTTTCACATTCTCTGTCCTTTCGGGGCACTTTCAGGTGAGCGTGTGATTCTACAACTCTGATACTTTTATTCTGTTTCTTTTTGTGTGCAAACCAGCTAATTCCATCTCCAGCTCATCTTTCTTAAAATACCTTGCCAAACCCAGCAAGGGAAGATCAACATATGCTTGCATTCTGCCTCTTTCCAACCACTTCCCTGAGATGCACCGGCTCAGTAGGCACTTGGTCTGTCTTCCATGTTAACAAGGGTGACAGTTTTACCAAATGTTTCACTACAGCAGAGCAGGGATTTCCAGCTTGCTAGGTCTGTTTCCTCACTGTCTACCACTAAACTGCTAAGCTGGTGTCAGATACTGTAGACTTTAAAAAAAAAAAAAAAAAAAAAATATATATATATATATATATATATATATATATATAATGACAGCATCTACTTCAAGATGCTGAGTTCTGTATTAGTTAGGCTAATATTATCCATTACAAAAAAAAGTATCCCTACATTTTAATGCCATGATAGACTAAATGCTTTTTTTTCATACTTACATAATTCTCAGTACAAGCTTTCCCAAGGGATGGAGAGTTAGCATCCCTCCACACGGTAATCCAGATGTTCAGGCTCCTCTGTCCCATGATTTCACTGTTGTCTTAATCCCCTTAGCCTCTCAGACACCAGCCAGCAAAAGAAGGAAAAGTGGGGCCTTTTAGAGCAATCTTGAAAGCCGTGCACCTTACTTCTATCAGATTTTATCATGCAAGGACTCAGGAAATGCTGAATGGGTAGGGAGTGTTTCTGTGCTGACAGCCCTTTCCCGGCACCTACAGTCTATGCACACACACACACACACACACACACACACACACACACACACACACACACCAAAAATTTGGGGTGTCAAAGAGTCACAATTGCCACACATGGAGAACATTTGGAGGAAATTCTTGAGTTCTACTCATGAAGGAATTTTTCAGCACACAGATTTTCATGTCTTCAGGATGCATGGTTATGGATTCCGCCAACCTTGATATCCAAATGAAAACTACATCCAACTAATATATATGCAGACTTTTTTTCTTCTTGTTATTCTATAGCCAACATAGTATGAGAACATATGTACAGAAAATTTGCTTAGTAATAGGTATTGCAAATAATCGAGAAGGTATTTGGAAGGATGTGTGTAGGTTATGCAAAAACACACCATTTTAGATGAGTTGGTGCATCCTTTGCTTTCAGTATTGACAGAGGATCCTCAAGTCACTCATAGATGTTGGCTGTTTTTATGGCTGTTTACTTATTTATTTATGGTGTTTTATTTAGGCTATAATTAGCAGGACCTCCCACTTTTTGAAGATAAGGTCTTATTATGTAGCCTAGGTTGGTATTGAACTCACTGTGTTGTCAAGACTGACTTCAAAAATCTAGACCCTCTTCTGTAGGCTTCCTGAATGCTAGGATTGTAGGCATCAACACCACACATTGCCTATGTATCTTCAATGCAGCCGTTTGCTAAGCTTCCCACTTCTTTGGTAAAGTGCCATCCATTTGTGGATCTGAGATAGATATCTTAGTTCAGTTCTGAGTTGATGTTATGGAGAAGCATTGGTTTCAATGAAAAAAACACACATCATACATAAGCATAAATATGCCCATTAAGTGAAGATCGTTTAGTGAAGAATATTATTCCAATTATAATACTCCTTATTATTCCAATTATAGTACTCCTTATTACATAGGGCTCTTTTAATCAAGTTATAAGATATATAGGCCGTGCATTTCTATGCCTGACTTTTGTGAGTAATGTTTTAACAATATTCATCCTAGTGTGCAATGAAGCCTGCAGTAGCATGGGTTCTGCTAATGCTAAGAAACTGCATACCATGCTCTTATTCAATGAACTCACTTCAAAACGTAGGATTAGAAACAAAAACCCCTAATATTTGCAAAAATGAGTTCAACACTATTCTGGAAAATTGGCATGCTCAGTTATTACAGTTGCTACCAAGTTCTTGGTTGCTTCGGGAATTTTTACCTTGTATTAGTGCAATGATAGAGTTTATCTACAGCACCTGACGAGAATACTGAAGCATACATTACCATTAATAGAGCACCATTGTTTTTTTACATTAATCATAAAGGGAATTGATAATTGCCTATGGGAGTTTTTACCTATGAGCAAAATAATGTTTGACCCAATTCTGCTTGCATAGTGAGGAATGAATATATTGAATTATGATACACAGATCATTGGTGGATTTCAGGGTAGAAAAGGAGCTATCCCAGGGGAATAAGCCATGAGTGAGCAAATGTTAAAAATTTGAAAGCTGATAATACTGTCATTTCATCACCTGTCACAGCTCAGAAGTGTAATCCCATTCAATACAGGAGATGAAGAGGTAAACCTGGCATGTTCGGTAACATTAAGCACCTGTCATTCAAATCCTAAGATCCAGGAGGATTTGTAGAGAAGAAGCAGGCACCTCTGCAATAAGCTGAAAACCTATGACTGTGTTTGGTGACTGGTTTTCCAAAAGGTTAAACTGACGCTAATGCAACTAGTTTCTACCCACTTATTCTTTACCAAAAGGTTGGCTGTCAATCATACTGCAAAAACCATCAACTATATTCTTTAAAACTTTAAGATTCCACTTGGAGTTGATCACGCTGAGGAAGAAATTTAAGAGCGACTACTCAGACTTAATACCAAAGTCAAGTTCCTTTTCGCATATTTATTCCAAAGCTGAGAGTTTCTTCTTTTTTTCCTTTGTTGCTAATGAGTAGGAGTAGAAGGCGATTATAATGCAGAAGAACACCCCTTTAGCTGTAGTCAGGAATTCTACCATAAATTACAAGTTCCTCAATTTTCATGTTCATTTATAGAAGGAAGAATTTAAACACCAAAAATAGCTCTCGTATATAATCATGGTAAAATTCATGTCTTGTAAACATTCTTAAGGGTCTCCTTTTATCGTCTTCTTTAAGATTGACTCTCTTTCCTGTCTTCCTCAAGCGTGTTGTGCTGGCTAGTTTTATGTCAATTTGATAC